GTCATCCATGCTCTTTTCATCGGCTTCCTCCGGGTTCTCAAACGGCGCCAGCGCCCGCTTGACGGTCGCTTCGAATTGGCTATCAATGTCGGCCTGTGGCTTATCAACTTCTTCGATGAAATTGGATTTGCCATCATCCTTTGCAGTCTTTGCCTCCGGCAGGGCTTCACTCTTGTCCGATCCCTTGGTACCCCATGACACGTCGTGCCAGTTACAGAAGGCGTAGACCATCAGGATGTTGATCGAGCAGGTCATACCACCGAAGTAAGCCCATGACGACGTAAACATGTGCCAGGGATCCATGTACAGGAAACTGGCCAGGAAGTAGATACCGTAGGTAGAGACCAAGGCGATCAGGACAATACCAGCTCCACTCGAGCTGAAGAAGGACTTCAAGAAAGCACCCACGCCCTTGCTCAAGTCGAAATCCAATGTACCTCCGGTAAAAGCATTCTTCACCAAGTAGAATGACAAAACCAGAATGTAGCACTGAACGATCGAGAAGTAAATAAAAGAGAGGGTGTATGCAAGACGTGAACCCTTCGGACGGTTACCCAGGGCCAGGATGAACTGAAGCATCAAGAAAAACACATAGCCGTATTTCAGGAAGTTATTAACGATGGGCGATGCGTCATTACCAAAAGGCCAGCCTTTATCTTTGTTTGCATCACTTGGTGTTCCCACCAGATCCATGATAACCGAGGTAGTAAGCCAGAACGAAGCTAGGATGTGTTAGCAAGAGATGTCACTTTGAGGGTCAAGAGGAAGGGGGACATACCGAGAGAAAACCAGGTCATAACTAGACCAGCAAAGTTATAGGTCATTTGAATGTGAAGGAAAAAGAGTCGGATGATATTATGGCCAGATTTATAGATCCGACCGAAATGCATCATGGCGTACAGACTGGCAGCGAAGGAACCGTTCAACCAACGACGACGTTGACTGATGAATTCAGCGGCTCCCTCAGGAACATCAGTCTCACCCTTGGAGGCCTTGACATAGGTCAAGTGCCACTTGAAACCAGCCTTGGCCACCAATTCGAAACAGAGGATACGATCCTCGGCAAGGAACATGTTCTTCTTGAAAATGTTCATACCTTCAATACCCTTCTTTCCGAGTTGTTTTGAAAGTGTATGGTCACCGTGGAAGTATTGCTCGAGGGGCCGGCCCATGATCGCGCGATACCTGTAGGCAGAGAAAGCACCAGGCAACACGCTGACGTATCCAAAGGCACTCTCGAGGGGTTTGTCGAGGATATTGGAGATCTTATACTCGAAGTTTTGAGCAGCAACAAGTGGGTTCATTAGGTTCTTCCAGCCCTTACCCAACATGGCGTGAATCTCACCACACGATCCACCCAGATTCTTGTCATTGTAGAAGGACTCCCAGAGGGCTAAGAGAGATTTCTTGCCAGGCTTAGTACCCGCATCAATCAGAATCACCACCTCAGGGTTAAGAATACGAGAGAATCCGTTGAACAGCCAGCGATGGGAATTGATCTTCTTGCTGTTCTTCTGCTTCAGACAAAAGATCATTTGGACTGGTGGAAGGTTTGTTGATTCGTTGCCTTGGGGTCGGATCAACTGCTGGTTCGACGTAACCGAGAGCTGTGTGGTGTATTCGAAAATGTGGGCGACCGTTTCGCGACCGTCAACAGATCGCTTCATGATACCGTCCTGGTAAATACCGACTGTCGCAAGCATGTCGAGGGTGTTCTTGTCGCAAGGGTCGATACCATCGAAAACCAGGGTACAGACGATCTTTTGCCAGGCAGGGCCACCCTTGTTCCAGAACTCCGATTTCTTCAAGTTGACGATATCCCGAATATTCTGCATAACGCCATGTAGAGTTCGAGCAGTGAGAACCTTGTCTTCGTTGTAATAGGTGATGGCAATCAAAAGCTCAGTGTGTCGGTTGTACATGGCAGGGCGCAGGTTGTAACCGTTGCGCAAGGTGAACTCATCCGGGTCGCAGGTAGCGGCAGTGTCTAGTACGTGGTTAGATATGCACCAACTTCCGGATCGTAATCCAATACTTACAACGCAGATGGGAAAACTCCTCCGGGAATCCCTCCTCTGACTCGCGATATTCCCGCTGAATGGCATTCTGGATTGCACTGGGAACGGGGTAGTCTACACTCAGGACAGAGCCCTGGACCAGCTTGATCTTACGGGTCGCGTAGCGGCGTAGACCCGAGGCAGGCGCATTGCGCTGCTGCCAGGCATCCGAGGGGGTCTCTGATGCGGGAGTTGAAACGCCAGATCGGCGATGCAAGCCCATGTTGGGGTCCTGCCCAGCCGGAAATATCGCAGTGCCAGTATCCTGAAGGGAGTATCGGGTCATGCCATCGTTCATCGAATCCGATACGCTGAGGGGGCCAGGGCTGGAGGCATTGTGACGCTGTTGGTAGGGGTTGGGGCTCGTCGACATGCCACGCTGGGGGTAGAAACCCGAGTTGGACTCTTCGCCGTGGCCGAGGAAGGGGATGGCGGCATCAGAGTGTTGTGCTTCGGCGTGCTGGTGGTGGTTATATCCGTCCTCATACTATTCGATGGGCTCGTGTTAGCTGTTTCGCTTTGTGCTGACTGGTTCACCGTGAGATGAGGGCGGCCACTTACCGGAGGAGCCGTGGAAGAGAAGTCACTCTCGCTCCGCCCGTGGAAGGGCGACCCGTAAGGTGAAGGGGATTCATGAGGGGAGGTCGGCTGTGGGGGACCCATTTTGCTCAGCTCCCCGGCAATCGGGGGTGCTTCTGGGGCAATTGAGGGATGTCTCAGTGTGTGAGAGGAATGGGAAGGGGGTGCTCAACGAAGGGGAGCTCGCCGTTATATGGAAACCCGGGGAGACAGCTGACGAGAGAGAGAAAGAGATATAACGAAAGAATGAAAGAGGAAAGAGAAAAAAAGGCAAGTTGCTTTGGGGAAGGGACTAGCACTAGCACATGCAGGGAGAATAATGCCAGATCTCCTGGGACACAACCGGTAGCCTTGTGAAGATCGGGCGATCCGTCAGAAAAGTGGGCTAGAAAGATGGCGGGAGGCGTTGAAACGAGGGCGGATGAGGATTGCAGTAAGAGGAGGAGGAGAAAGAAATGAGGTTCAACCGTTGAAAGAGAACGCGCGATCGCAAAGAAGGTTGGTCGCGGCTAAGAATAGGGACGCGGGAATCTTTTCTGGAAGCACAGTAGGGCCCTGCACCAGCATAGCCAGAAAAGATATTTTTGGTTCAGATTTTCAGAGGCGGCGATGCACAGGGTGGAGGCATCAGCAGCGCTTGTCGTTCGTCATCTGCTCCTCTAAAGACTCCACCGGGACCCGCGTCCGAGACACGCTCTGCACCGTTGTTCCCCTGCGCCAGGGCCTTTGCTGCCACAGTGACAGTAAGCAGCCGCTAACTTGAATCAGGCTGATCTGTTGGACCTGCTGGACCTGAGCCAAGAATAGTGTACCGTACATTGTCGCCTGGGGTGGGTGTGCATGTGTGTGTGCGTGTGTGTTTACACGTACCGCGGGTACGAGTTGGACTCCGATGCCCCGAGCAATTGGTTGCTTCATCTGACTCGTCGAGGGGAAGGAGGATTGGCGGGTCATCGATGCAACGTGAGTACACATTGGTTGGAGAGGCTGATGGGGGATCCATCCAATGTATTGTGATTCCTCTGTTTCGCCCATCCCTTTCCCCAGGGCAGCATGCATGAAAGGTGGATTCAAGTTCCTAGCCCAGTTGGACTTCAAGTTTCCAAAATGATTATGTTTTTCCCTTTGTCTTTCAACATCTTCTCATTATATCGCTCTATCGCACTGGGGATGGAGCGAAACGAGCATGGGTCATAACGCCTCTTCCCAGCAGAAACCCACACAGACGCGGGCTGAGGGGCCGAAAATTGCCGGAGATGACGACAATGGCGGAGGGTAAAGATCGGCCGTGCCCCAGGGGCGCATTTCGAGGCCGTGACCCACCAGGGTCCACCGTGGAATGAGGCTGGCCATTAAATTAAAAGCGGTGGCGGAAGGGAGTTGGAGTTGGAGTTGGTGTTGAAGTTGGAGTGGGACGTTCCAAGGTTCAAGTTGGTGTTGGTGTTGGTGTTGGTGTTGACTCTGTGTTGATGCCAGTGGTCACGTGGATGGTATAGAATAGACTACTATCCACCTAGTAGTACAAGTTATGTATACACCGGACAACTTCCAAGGTTGAAGTACTAGTAGTACAAGTGGTGGTTTGCACTGGCATGCTGATCAAGCACCTGGGCACCTGGGCACATGATTCCGAGTCAACTTGAAGTTGTCCGGTGTATACACAACTTGTACTACCTAGGTATTAGTACTAGTAACCTTGGAATCAATCTGATCAACATCCATAGTGTCGTGGAATCCATTATTGAAGCTGTTTGGATATTCAGCCACCTGCTACTACTAGTAGTACTGGTACTAGTGGGCACCTGGCACTGGGGCAAAAGGACTCGGAACTTTAACCTAAGGGTGCCCAGGTGCCAAGGTGGGAATCGTGATATATACCTAGATACCTAGGTAGGTATCTAGGTTGGTAGTACTCAAATTGAAGTGAATACTGGTAGTAGTATGTCTCACGGGCGGCCTTCAAATTCCGAGATCGGACTCGGACTTCAAGTTGACGAACGAACTCGAAATTAGATATTCTCCCTGGGCAAGGGCAACTAGGTTTCCATGGATTAATGCTGACATTGCTGGCGACTAGCTACTACTGTAGCTAGAATACTACTTGCCCTTGGAATACTCCTTGACCCACCCCGGAGTATACACCGATGCACTCGGCTAACACAGCCCGGGAGTCAAACTGCCGTGGTTAATCATTGCGGGGTAAAGGATCGTGAAGAGTACCTAGGTACTACTAGGTATAAGATCCAGCCTGGGGAAGTTTCAAAGTTTCACTTGAATACGACTACGTAGGTAGCAATACTGTATCTGCAAGTTGATTCATAAGACTCACTTTAACCACCTAGGTACTTATACTAGTACTCTACCATGCCGACAAAGCCCACCTTCGAGTCTCTCCCTCTTCACCCCGATGGCCCCCGAGGCAACGCCTGGGGTCTCTTTGGAGATAAGGACCAGATGGGTATGTTGAACTTGCTCACCCCAGAAAATACCGCGGCCGCAGCCAAAGAGATTGTCGAAGGGGTGCGCGTGTCCACCGATTGGCCGCTCAATAGTATGATCGCCCCGTGTTTTGGGCGGTCGGCATTTCAGCATACGATTAAGAACAAGGCTCCTCGCCCAGTAAATGATGATATCCTGGTCTTGAATACACAGAGTAGCTCCCAGTGGGATGGTTTCCGGCACTTTGGGGCCAAGGATGGATCTTTTTACAATGGATGCTCCCAGCATGATATCGAGAGCTCGACTCGGAATGGAATCCACGGTACGCGGGCCCCGTTAGTTCTAGTTGTGAGAAGACGAGAAGAGACACTTGCCCAACTGACACAAAATGAACACATGATAGTCTGGGCGGATAACGGCGGTATCGTCGGACGTGGAGTATTGCTCGACTACGCGACATGGGCCGAAGCCAAGGGAAAGCCGGTAAACTGCTTCGAGGCCCAGTCGATCCCGCTCGATGATCTGCTAGAGGTGGCTGCTAGTCAGAAGACAACATTTCGCCCCGGTGACATTTTGTTTATTCGGACCGGCTGGACCCGTGCGTATGAGAAACTCTCTCAAACAGAGTGTGAGCAACTCGCCAACTACGCGGCACCTCCAGTGATCGGGGTCAAGTCATCGGAGGCCATTCTTCGCTGGATATGGGAGAGTGGGTTTGCCGCTGTTGCCGGTGACCAGCCCGCATTCGAAGCGTACCCATGTCAGGATTCAGACTTCTTCCTGCATGAGTGGCTGCTGGCGGGCTGGGGACTGCCAATCGGCGAGCTCTTCGACTTGGAACGACTCGGTCGGGAATGTCGTCAGCGTGGAAGGTATACATTCTTCTTCAGCAGTGTTCCATTGAAGGTGAGATCATATATGGAAATTCTGCAACTGCTGGGATTCTCATTCTTATTGATCTGTGCTAACCAGATGAATAGGTCCCTGGGGGAGTGGCGAGCCCTCCGAACGGGGTGGCTATTTTCTGAGTTGGATGAGTTAATGTATCAGTTATCATTCAGGGGGGACAGGCCATGTGGAAATACTCGAACTCAACTCATTTCGTCAGTCAAGCCTGTCAAGGTGTTCATAAGTAGTACGGAGTACGGAGTACACAGGAGTACTCTACAAGTAGTTGATATCGTATCCCGTGATCCCCCGCCCATCGGACCGAAGATAAGAAAATGTGGGGGAGATAACAACTTCACTTCCTCCAACCTTCTTGGGGTAACTTGACTGACCCTCCTCCACTTCCACACCCACTCCACCTCGATCTTCCCATCTCCCCTCCCTGATTATGTCCTGGAAATGGTCCATGGCAAAGTCTCCAAACGGGACCGTCAGGTCCATCGGTCGATGGTAGCGTATGTGCGCCCCCTGCAATAATAACTAGCGCTGATCTTATGCATGACCAGATGCAATCGATGTCGCAATCGCAAAACTCGATGCGCCGGTAGCCCACCTCTCCCTTGCGCTGCATGCCTTGATGTCGGCCAGCCCTGTATCTATTCCGAGGCCGAGAAACGTATCTCCATCACTGAGAGGTGAATCCACTCGGTTAAACCTCCCAGGAATCAACTATCTACTGATACTCATCTCGCAGTTACTTTCGCCAATTGCAATCGCAGGTTCGCACACCCAGTACCCTCAATGGCTCGAATACCTCTTCCTCGAAGACCCCAGACATCTCCAACACACCCGAAGAGCTCCAAGTCGGCTCTCCCAGTCGACCGACCCCGTCGAGCGTGCCATCTACCGCTACTCGAGGTTCGGAGAGGGAGGTGATGCCGTTGGAGCGAGATGATTGGTGGTATAAGGGGACAGATAATCTGTTCCTCAATCGATCTGGAGAACACCGTATGCACATCATCCACGCCCCTATCCCCGGAATCAGTCACTTGCTGACATGGTATCCCACCTAGACTTTGTGGGCGCATCATCGACCACTCATTTGGCCAAGCGTTTGAACCCGACTTCATCGAGCCTGGCGTGGGATGTGCGCCCGCTTTATGATGACCCGTCATCGCTAAGGCGACCGGTCGCGGGCGCTCTACCCCAACTCCCGCCCTTTGACTTTGCGAAGCGTCTTTTCTGGGTACAATATACGTATATCGGCACCATCTTCTCCCTGATCCACCCGAAAGAATTTGAAGAACGTCTTGATTTTGTTTACCACCAGCCACCTGACTTCTCCCACCGGGAAACATGCCTCATATACTGCCAAGCCCTTCTGGTGATCGCATTTGGCTTGATGTATTCGGTCAATCAGTGGTCTGGCGATGATGGACCGCCAGGCTTCAAGTATTTCAAACATGCTCTGCGATTCTTGCCCGATATTTACGAAGAGGGATCGATATTTTTCGTTGAGGTACTGTGCTATGTAGCATATTATATGCAGAACCTCAACCGAAGAGACGCGGCTTTTCTCTATGTATGTCAGACGTAACGCTCGTTCCATCACGAGAGAGGCGAAAGAACTGATTTGTCTAGATCGGACTTGCTCTGCGCATGGCGATCTCGCTAGGCCTTCACCAAGAAGTATCCGACCAAGATATTACGCCGACAGACCGCAATCGCCGACGGCGAGCTTGGTGGTCGGTTTATAGTCTGGACCGGTAGGCTGCCCCGAACATCAACCGAAAGCCTTAATTGATTTAAATCAATAGAATTCTCTCGGTCAAATCCGGAAACCCTATCACTATCCACGACGAGGATATTGGAATCACTTGGCCGGCTGCACTGGTAAGTCGAGTCATACAGCCAGCCCAATACCGAGCCCTGATCAATTTTCTTTCCATAGGATGGATCAACCTCAGACCCCTGGCCGGGTATTGTCTTAACTCACTACACACAGCTGTCTCGAATCCTGGGTCGAATCGGCGAAGGTAGGAATTGGAATGATTGTATCCGTTTCTCATGGTTCTCAGACTGAAAGTTAGCCCAACAGAGATCTATCGAAAAAAACCTCGCTCCGGGTCGAATCTCATTATGTCTGTTCAGAGTATCACAAATGACCTCTCCAGTTGGTTGCGACAAGTGCCCGATCGCCTTCGCATTGATTTTACAACCCTCGATAGTCCCATCAACCGAGAATCGGTTTCTATAAACTTGCATTTCTATTCATGCGTGAATATGACCGCTCGCCCGCTGGTTTTTTATGTCATCCAGCGAAGACTGGATGCTGGTATCATGGGCGCTTCCGCTGAAGACTGGAAGGAAGGGTTGGCTCCCAATACAGTCGCGGTCATCGATAGTTGCATCACCGCTGCCCGTGCCACGACGATGATCATGGATGCAGCCGCCAAACAAAATCTAGTCGGTAGGTGGTGCAGGGAGGCTTCCTCGTTCCATGCCCATGTCCATGCTGACTTTGCTATCTGGCAGCTACGTATGGCTATCTAGATGGCGAGTACATTTTCTCCGCAGCATTGTTGCTTGTCATGGTGAATGCAGCATTCCCACACAATGAAACCAATGCGCGATCAATGGAGACTGCTCTTACTCTGCTACGAAGTATGGCCGACCGCGGCAACGCCTACTTGGGATCACGCCACTCCCTTCTTCTGGAATTGCGGGCCTCGATCGGACCCAAACCCACCGAGAACGATGTAGATGGTTCAAGTGGTGCGCTCGTCATTCCACCTAGTCCCAACGGTGAACATGCGACCGGTACTACCACTTTGACGGATCCTGCGCCCCATCCCACAGTACCGACGGAGGATTGGCAGTCCGATCTGCCATCCTTCCAGAGCATTTCTTTCCAGTTTGATCTGAATGATGACCCGGCACTATGGGAGGGGGCGTTGGATCAGATTGATATTGACATGGATACGGACTGGATCGAAAACACTCTGAAGCGTCTATAATAGAGTACTAGTACCTAGGTAGTAGTATGTATTTTCTGTACAAAATGTTAGAACATCCGCACTCTGCTCATACTGGGATACCCTAAGTCTATCTCGATAGGCTGAACTCCATTCTCCACCCTAGGCTTACCCTATAGAGGTATACTTCTATAATGAATTGAACAGTCCAACTTGATATCATCTATATTATTATCTATCATAATCTACATTATCATCTATCAAAATATATCAAAATCTATCAATCCATTCTACTCTCATCAGTCTCGGCCCGACACTCCCGATGGAGGTCACGTGTCGGCCCGATATCTCTCTACGATGGTGAAATCCGGGGGATTCTAGAGTAATCAGACTGTATAATAGACAGGGGCATTGTCTAGCAGCTTTGATCTCCTTTCATTTTGTTTCACTTCATACAATACTCGCTTTTTATATCATCCCAAATCCCTGAACCTGCCCGCGATGGCTGACTCTGGGAAGATTACCATCTCCATCGACCGCGGGGGCACCTTCACTGATGTCCACGCCATTGTGCCTGGTCGTTCTGACATTATCTTGAAACTCCTCTCAGTTGACCCCGCTCACTATCAAGATGCTCCTACAGAGGGTATCCGTCAGATTCTGGAGCTCGCTACTGGCGAGTCACATCCTCGTGGCCAGCCACTAAAGCTTGACCGGATTGGGTGTCTTCGCATGGGTACAACAGTAGCCACCAATGCATTGCTAGAACGCAAAGGTGCGCGATCAGTGCTATTCACTACTAAGGGTTTTCGTGATCTGCTCAAAATCGGTGATCAGTCTCGTCCGGCTATTTTTGACTTGACTATGGCACGCCCCGGTGTGCTCCCCGAAGAGGTCGTTGAAGTCAATGAGCGGGTGGTCCCTTGCCATCCTGCCGCAGATATCGATTGCTTCTCAGACGCTCGCATAGTGGAGGGTATCACTGGCGAGAAATTCCGCGTGGTGCAAGAGATGGATCTTGGCCATGTGCGGTCGGAGTTACACCGTCTCAAGGAAGCCGGCTACCAATCTCTCTCCGTGGCCCTGGTACATTCGTTCGCCTATCCTGAACACGAACGCCAAATTGGAGAGATCGCGCAGCAGATGGGATTTTCTGTCACACTGTCTTCAAAACTACAGCCTATGATCAAGATTGTACCTCGTGGCATGTCAGCTGCAGCCGATGCGTATCTCACGCCTGTCATCAAGACTTATATCGATTCAATATCCTCCAGTTTCGAGGGTGGCCTCGAGAAGCAAGAGCAATGTCGCTTTGAGTTTATGCAATCAGATGGTGGATTGGTCGATTTCCGCAAATTTAGTGGACTGAAGGCGATTTTGTCCGGCCCCGCTGCTGGAGTTGTTGGTTTCGCTGCCACGAGCTGGGACCCTGTTGAGAAAACCCCAGTTATTGGTTTTGACATGGGTGGTACTTCCACCGATGTTTCCCGTTTTGATGGTCACTTGGAGCATGTCTTCGGCTCCAAGGTTGCTGGAATCCTGATTCAATCACCCCAGCTCGATATCAATACCGTCGCTGCGGGTGGTGGATCCATTCTCTCCTGGCGTAATGGCCTCTTCTATGTCGGCCCCGAATCGGCCAGTGCTCATCCTGGCCCAGCTTGCTACCGCAAAGGAGGCCCATTGACCGTGACGGATGCCAATCTGTTCTTGGGCCGACTGCTTCCCGAGTATTTCCCTCACATCTTTGGACCTAACGAGGATCAGCCCCTTGACTTTGAAGTCACAGCGCAAAAGTTCCACGATCTGACGCAAAAGATCAATGTCGAACGTCGCCAGCGTTTCCAGTCAGAGTACACGCCGGAGGAAGTTGCCCTCGGTTTCCTCAAGGTCGCTGACGAATCAATGGCCCGACCAATCCGCAACCTCACTGAAGCTCGTGGCTTTGAAACCGCATCCCACCATTTGGCCTGCTTTGGTGGAGCTGGAGGTCAGCACGCCTGCTCAGTGGCTGATTCTTTGGGGATTTCTCGCATCATTGTCCATAAATACTCTTCGATCCTGTCGGCGTATGGCTTGGCTTTGGCCGAGGTAGTAAAGGAATCCCAAGAGCCTGTTTCAACTGATTACCTCTCCTCCCATACTACCCTCCTCCAGCGTTTTGATAACATGGCATCTGAAGCAACAAAGGATATGCAATCGCAGGGCTTCCCCTCTAGCCAAGTCCGACACGAACAATACTTGAATATGCGCTACGAAGGCTCCGATACTAGCTTGATGATCCTGCGTCCCCAGGAATCGTCTGACTTCATGAGCGAATTCCGGGAACGCCACCGCCGAGAATTCAATTTCAACTCAGAGCGACCAGTCCTTGTCGATGATATCCGTGTGCGCACGATTGCTTCGACCCAAGTCCGCACAGAGCGCAGTCCTCTACTGCAGATGAAGGAGACCGATATCCATGATGTGAAAACCGCTCCCGCCAATACGACTACTGCTTACTTCGATGGTTACTCTGAGCGTATCAAAACACCGGTGTATCTTTTGGATCAACTTGAGAAGGGCTCCCGCATTGTTGGCCCTGCAGTCATCATCGACAAGACCCAGACCATTGTTGTGGCCCCCAGCGCAATTGCGAAACTCCTCGAAACCTGCATTGTTATAGACCTGCAGGGCAAGGCAAAAGCCCCAGCCACGGGAACCCAGGTGTCTTCAGAGGTCGATCCCATTCGCCTCAGCATCTTTGGCCATAGATTCATGTCAATTGCGGAGCAGATGGGCCGGACTTTGCAAAAGACATCTGTTTCCACAAATATCAAAGAGCGCCTGGACTTTTCGTGCGCTCTCTTCTCGCCCGATGGTGGACTCGTTGCTAATGCTCCTCATGTCCCGGTTCACCTTGGATCCATGCAGTTTGCAGTTCGCTATCAACATGAGAAATGGCTGGGTAATCTGAAAGATGGTGATGTGCTTGTGGCCAACCACCCTACATGTGGCGGAACTCACTTGCCCGATATTACTGTAAGTTGCTGTGTTGTCATTCAATATTCCTACTATCTTCTTTGTTACTAAATTTTACCGCAGGTTATCACCCCCGTCTTTGACAGACCTGGTGGAACCGAGATCATGTTCTACGTTGCTTCCCGCGGTCACCATGCCGACATTGGTGGAATCCTCCCGGGTTCAATGCCCCCCAAATCTACCGAGCTCTGGCAAGAGGGTGCTGCCATTGAAGGTGACAAGATCGTAAGCAACGGCGTCCTGGACGAGGCACGTCTCATCGAATTATTGGTTACCAAGCCCGCACAATACCCCGGATGTTCAGGTGCGCGTTGCATTAGCGACAATCTGTCCGACCTGAAGGCCCAAATCGCCGCCAATACCCGCGGCATCAATCTTATTCAAACACTGTTCGCAGAATACGGAGTGGAGACTGTCCAAAGGTACATGTATGCTATCCAGGCAACCGCTGAGACGGCCGTGCGCAATCTCCTCAAGGGTCTATACCAGAAATTTGGCGGCCAGCCCTTGGAAGCGGTGGATTATATGGATGATGGCACGCCCATCCGCCTCAAGGTCACCATCGATGGGACTAATGGCTCAGCCATCTTCGACTTCGATGGCACTGGCCCTGAAGTTTATGGTAGCTGGAATGCCCCGATTGCCATCACCCACTCGGCTATCATTTACTGCTTGCGTTGTATGATCAACGCAGATGTCCCACTGAACCAAGGATGCCTGGCTCCTATCGACATCCAGGTTCCATCACCGAGTATCCTATCGCCAACCAGAACCGCCGCCGTTGTCGGTGGCAACGTGGTGACCTCGCAACGCATCACAGACGTGGTCTTTAAGGCCTTCCAAGCCTGCGCTGCTTCTCAAGGTTGCTGTAATAATCTTACCTTTGGTACAGACGCCAAGATTGACCCTTCTACCGGCGAAGTGATCAAGCCAGGGTTCGGATACTACGAGACCATCGCGGGTGGAAGCGGTGCAGGACCAACCTGGAAGGGCGAATCGGGGACCCAGGTCCACATGACAAATACGCGAATCACAGACCCAGAGATTCTCGAGAAGCGCTATCCAACATTACTCCGCCAGTTCACTCTGCGCGAGGGATCTGGAGGCCAAGGCAAGAATCCCGGTGGCGAGGGTGTGATTCGTGAAATTGAGTTCCTTTCACCGATTAAGTGCTCGATTCTCTCCGAGAGGCGTGTGCACCGGCCTTATGGGCTTGAGGGTGGTGGTGATGCGCAGACCGGGTTGAACCAGTGGATAACCAAAGACCGGGAGACGGGCGAGGAGCGTCGAATTAACATTGGCGGTAAGAACACCGTTGCGATGAATACACACGATAGGATTGTCATTATGACTGCCGGTGGTGGTGGATGGGGGGCCGTTGAGGCCGCTGCATAAAGCACGCCCGGGCGTTGTAGTTACAGCATGAGTTACCTGGACATAGACGATATATGACACGAAATTCATAGTACGATTATGGATACCTAGGTACCTAGGTACTCTTCAATTTTCAAAGTACACAACCTCTACAAGGTAATTAATTGATAATCCGAAAAATGCCATTGTAGCATAAGACACCTGTATATGCAAAGGAGGCTATCTATTGTTCGTAAAGGAAAAGGGAAACAAAAACTTCAACATGGAAAGGGTGTTATCGTGAACCGTAGACGCCAGCTGACCTGGCCCCCCGCGCGAATGCGAAAGAGACATGGAAAGATTCAGCGAGAAAGCGCAAGCGAGAAAATGTTTGGCGAGGGAGGTTTGTTAGGCTATGAACCTTCAATTACAATACGGCCTTCCAACCGCGGAGAAATACCAGACGTCCATGGGGGTGTGAATTCGCCCTCCCCATCGTTCATATTGAGGTGGTTGGGCTGGAGACCAGCGTGTCGCATCCACTTTCGCACCACCCGTCGAGCCAACTGTAATCGGTAGTCCTCGTCGGCTGAAGATCGAGCTGGTTGGGTAACATAGTTAATGCGTGAGCGGGGTGAGGTTAGAATTTCAGGATCGTCGTCCGAGTC